GTAGATGGAGGGGATGTGCCGGAAAGCTTCAGCCACTGCCATGCCTGATAAGGGAGACAGACGTGTCAGCGATGCAGGAAGGAGTCAAGGTACCAAAGCCCAACCCTGTCCTTCACACAGACACTATTCCCGCTTTCCCTGCCTGGGCTGCCGTTACCCGCTGACAGCAAGGCTCCGGCCTGTTTGCAAAGGGTGGGGAGAAGAGGCGGTTAAAGGCCTTCCAAGGCACCTGGGAGACAATCACTGGAGGAACAATTCTGCTGACTCCGCAACGCCCAGGTTCCCATTTCCCCCAGACCGGCTGCGGAGCCGCTGGGCACGATGGGGGCGATGTCAGACGACAGGTCTGGCGTCGAGGGGGGAGCAGCAGCAAGGCCATAAGGAATGAGGCTCCTGTTCCCATGACAATGCCCCGAGCCATAACCATCCTGCCCTTCTCCTTCCCTTTGGCCTATTTCTGCAGGGCCGGACTCCGAGCCTCTCAACCCAAGTGGCGGCCCAGGGGTCACCTCACCACAGGGCTCCCAATGGGGCCCATAGGCCGTGAGCTCTATGGGGCGGGGACTGGCTCTGCTGTTTGCGCAGCGCAGCAGGGCTACGTCTCAGCTGGGGGGTACCACCGCAATGCACATCGATAATAATAACAGCACGAAGCAGAGGGAGATGGACCAAGGACTCCTGGCTGCCCCGTCTCTGTTAGGCTTTGGGGTCGTTAGCTGCTCGGCCAAATTCCAGCAAAAGGCCTGGCACAGGCCTGGGGCCGGGCACATTTTCAGCTGTTTATCTGAAGCCAGATAATTAGAAGCCAACACCCCGTCCCCCCAGCCCCAGCACTGGGCAAGGGAGAAGGGGGGTTCAGAGGGTCCCCTGCTCCCTTTCCGCTGCATCAGCCCCCTGGTCCCTCTGCTGCGCTTGCCCAGTTCCAATCAGACTGTCCCCACCTGGCTCCTCTCTCTGTCGCTCCCTGACCCTCTCCCGTCCAGCCTGGCAGTGAGTGAACGCAGGCGGGGACAGGGCTGCCCAGCGACGCCAGAGAGCGCTGCCCTTCCATGGCAAAGAACCACCGGCAGGCACTCTGTGGGCTTTAACCCCGCGCCTGCTGAGCCAGACTGCAAGCCTGCTGGGCAGCACCTTGTTTTCCCACCTCTGACAACAGAAGCGCTTGGTTTCTTACAAGGGAATAACATGGAAACTTCCCAGAGCTGCATCCAGCCCACCCCGCGGTGTGGGGAGCAATCCAGGGAACCGCCCGGGCAGCAGCACCTCACCTGCAACGACGCCCGTGATGACTTGGTGCGGGAAGTGAGCTGCTAGGAAGATCCTGGACAGACTGACAGACACCTGAACCCCCCAGAATGACATCCACAGCGCCCCCCGCAGGCACCTGCAACGAGCAGCGAGAACACAGCAGTTAGTGGGCTGTGGGATTGGTGGGGGGAACGTGATGAACCGTTTATTCAATAAGTAAGATTTGTGGGACATTTCAGGAGGACAGACACAGCAGCAGCATCTGGGACGGAGACCCCAGACCCCAGCTGCCAGATCTGAACCAGGCCGTCCCAGTGCCTTGCTGGGGGGGGAGACTCAATCCCACACTGGGGTCTGAACCCACCAGCGGCGCTCCCCATGCAGCTCCAGACTGCACATGCCATGTGCACATTGACACAGCCAGGGGCTGACGGGCACGAGCCCAACCGGGGAGCCGAGCTGGTCAAGCATCAGAGTACGGTCGGCTGCCACGGCCAAGCCAAGAGGAGCCGCACACGTCTGGGATTAGCTGGAGCTCATTCTGCCCAGAGCTAATGCCACTGCCCTGAATTACACCCCTTGGCCCTGCACCCAGCGCGAGGGCAGAGCTGGATCCTTACTGCTGCTGGAAGGGGGATCTCCGGCGCCGACGCAGGGTGCTAAGCAGAGCCGTCACCATCACGTAGTACACCCCAGCTGAGCCCATGGCATGGCCAGAGGGGCTGCCTGTGGAGGAGAATTGGGAGAAGCCTGCAGTGAGCTCAGTGAAGAGAAAACCCCTCCCACTTTGGCTTCTGGCTGCGGGAGAGTTTGAACGCACAGAAGGGAATCATCTCACAGTCTGTTCTAGCCCAGGCCGCCTGCTACAGGCTTCCTGGGCTGATGTTTGATGGGGCCTTTCCCGAGGACTTTAACTATTTAGACATCGTTCCCTTTCACAGTCTCAGCCCCCTGATACCTTGGGTGTCGGCTGCTGCTCCTTTACCTGTCTTTTGTCCATTCCAGGCCAGGCCAGAGAGCCAGAGCGCTTGACTGTATTATAAATCGGATCACAGGTAGGACAGACAGACAGCTGCCGGGAGCGAGAACCCCTGTTCCAGCCCACCCCTGGTGAAAGGTTAGGTGGGAACCAGACCACGTGGGGGAAGGGCAGCCAGAAGGGGGCTCTTCTCACAAAAAAAACAGCTTGGTTTTGATCTGCGTGTCACTCTGGCCCCCAAAATCACAAGCGGGGGATTGGAATCCAGTCTGGCCTCTAAGAATGCAGGAAAGGCTGGAGGCTCAATGCAGAGAGAGGCTGCTGCAGCCCAGGACAGTCCAGAGTCCACCCCGAAGCTGCCAGGCTACAGCTTGAGAGAGGAGTTTTAAGCAAAGGAGGCTGCGGAGGTTGCTAGTGTGCAGACGACCCAGACTTCTCTGCCAGGAGGTTAGCTGGCATAGCGCTCGCCCGGCCCATTTCCCACCCGGGGGCCAGTGCAGCCCCACCACCTCCCTTGGGAGCATGCTCTGCCCTCGGGGAGGGCTCACCCTTCGAACGGAGACTCAGACGCCTAGGTCAATGAGGCACACCAGCTGCCCTGTCTCCCAGCACTGCATGAAGCCTGTGCGGTGCGGGAACCGACTCAGGCCTCCAAATGGGCTTGAATTCAGGGCCTGATTTCTGAGCACCTTAATCCCAGGAGAAATCAGTGGTCACTCAGTAGGACGACTCCTGGGGGTAAAGTGCTACTCAGGACACGCAGGTGTCCTCAGATGGACCTTTGATTCTACGTTCTTTGGGGCAGAAACCTGCCTCCTCTTGTGGGTGCAGAGCACCTAGCCCCTTTGGGGTGTTACATTCATTAACAACCAAAGGCTAATGGTTGCTGTGGGTGCAGTGACTGGTGTCTAGGCTGTGCATTTGTCAGCTTCTCCTGAGTGCCGCATGTGCACTGTGGAGGGGGGTTGCTCACCTGGGCCGGTCTCACAGGTGACAGGGAACTGCTGGATCACAGGGGTGGAGGCGTTGCCATAGTAGCCGGTCTCACGGACCCACCAGTAGGGTCGCTGCCCAAAGAGAATCCTGTAGTGAAATGCAATGGGTCACATGGTCAAATCAGGCATCATCCACCCCCCTCCTCTTGGCCAGCACAACCGGTTCATTCATAGAGGACTCCACCTGGTGCCAAAGTCAGGTCTGGGCTCATTAGCCAGGAAAGAGCGTGAGACCAAGCCGATGTTTTCAGGTTAATCAGAAAGTGTCTGTTCTCAGGGGAAGTGAACTCTGCTCATGGGTCTTGCTGTTTTCCTGGAACCACCCTTTGCCTTCTGACCATTATCTCACTGGGGTCCACACGAAATGCTCTCGAAGTCCCGAGACCTCTAACCAGCCTTTTATCCTCCCTGAACAGCGTGTTTATTTTATTCAGCAATCTCTGACGCTGGGTCAAGGCCAGGCAGGGGTTTCTTTAAGCAAGATGATGGCATTTTTGGGGACAAATATAGCACATCTTGGCTATACTGGAGGACATGAGGCCAGATGGGCAGTGACTGGTTTAAGCCCCCTGAGATGAGCGCTAGTTGCCCAGAAATACACCGTTGGGCTGCCGTATGATGGCGTGTACAGCCCACCCAAGCCCTGCACAGCCTGGCCCTTGCCATGACCATGACAGGAAAGGAACAGGAGCTTGAACCAGGTGTTTTTAACAGGTTTAAAGTGAATTTCCTGCCAGCAAAAGGTGCTCGATTGACAGCTCTGATCGCTGACAGGCTGCTATTTGCTGATAGTGCAAGCCTCCCCCACAGTCCCCTGCAACTGTGCCTCCGCCCTGACCTGGAGAGACCTGCGTTAGGGGCTGAGAGGTGAGAACAGTCGCCAGGGCGTACTGAGGCCTACTTAACATTTAGGTTGACATAGCTACGTCGCTCAGGGGAGTGAAAAATCCACAGCCCCGGGTGACATAGTGACACCAACTTAAGCTCCTATGTAGGCGCAGCTAGGTCAAAGGAAGGCTGCATCCATTGTCCAAGCTACCACTGCTTGGGGAGATGGTGTTTCTACAGCAACAGAAACACCCCTTCCGTCAGTGCAGCCTGTGTCTACGCTATGGGGTCATGCAGGCATCGCTAAGGCCCCTGCTATGGCTGTAGTGTAGACATGGCCTCAAGCCTCGGCCTCTTTACAATGCCAATGGTCGTGGTGTCTTTCAAGAGCTGGGTTTAACTGATACCACAAGACAAACATTGCAGAATCACCGCACCCCGCAGCCCGACCCCCAGCAAACCTGCCCTGCCTGAGGAAGAGTCAACAGTGTGCCCTTGTTGCCAAGAAGGCTAACGGCATTTTGGGCTGTATAAATAGGAGCATTGCCAGCAGATCGAGGGACGTGATCATTCCCCTCTATTCGGCATGGGTGAGGCCTCATCTGGAGTACTGTGTCCAGTTTTGGGCCCCACACTACAAGAAGGATGTGGAAACATTGGAAAGAGTCCAGCAGAGGGCAACAAAAATGATTAGGGGGCTGGAGCACATGACTTATGAGGAGAGGCTGAGGGAACTAGGGTTATTTAGTCTGCAGAAGAGAAGAATGAGGGGGGATTTGATAGCTGCTTTCAACTACCTGAAAGGGGGGTTCCAAAGAGGATGGATCTAGACTGTTCTCAGTGGTACCAGATGACAGAACAAGGAGTAATGGTCTCAAGTTGCAGTGGGGGAGGTTTAGGTTGGATATTAGGAAAAACATTTTCACTAGGAGGGTGGTGAAGCACTGGACTGGGTTCCCTAGGGAGGTGGTGGAATCTCCTTCCTTAGAGGTTTTTAAGGTCAGGCTTGACAAAGCCCAGGCTGGGATGATTTAGTTGGGAATTGGTCCTGCTTTGAGCAGGGGGTTGGACTAGATACCTCATGAGGTCCCTTCCAACCCTGATATTCTATGATTCTATGATTCTGAGAGTCTGTGGAGCTTGCCTCTCTCACCGACAGAAGCTGGACCAATAAAAGTTATTACCTCCCGCACCTTGTCTCGCTGACTGCCAGTGCCTCTATCACTCATTTAATAAATTACAGTAATATTGATGTGCCCAGAGCTACAATAAATCAAACATGGTATGGAGAGGAAATCAGGCAACAGCGCCCTGCTGGCCCATCTGGGCAGTTTCTCTTTCTAGTATTAAATTACATCAGTTTAACTCAAGCACTCAAGAAGATGCATTTTTACACGGCTTAATTTTAAAAATACACAGACAGCCCCTTTAATGCACTTCATTTGTAACACAGGATACGATAGTAACGTATCTCATGTGAACTTCTGCATGAGGGTGAGTGTGTATGAGTGCACATGTGTGTATTAATGTGCGTGTGCCCCTCCCCGGCTCTCTTATAGACACATAACCCTGGGCCTTGCCTTGGCAGTGAGGCCCACACACTCACCACTTAAAGACCAGGTTGAGCCAGTCCCCGATCACAGCCACCCAGATCAGCTTGATGCCCACGGCCTCGCAGAGGTGGAACCAGATGGGGAAGAGAATGAAGAAGGTGTTTCTGAGGTCGGCCGCAAAGGAGATGAAGAGGAACCAGCCCTGGGAGCTCTGGTAGTTCTCCTGCAGGTAGTGAGTCATTTGGACTCCAGAGCTGTGTACAAAATCCATTCCTGTCCCCATGGCTGCAGCTCAGGCTGCGGGGAGATTGCTGGGGCTTTGGGACGGAATGCGACGCCTCACTTTTGTGGCTGGCTGGTTATATACTGCTTGGGACGCAGATTACATTTGCTTTTCAAAGATGTCCCCCCAATCAAGACATGTTAGCACCAAAGCTCCTCAGCAAACATTACTTCACAGGAGTTTGACACAATTACCTGCTCCAGGCTTCTGTCTCAGCAATTCACAGTGATCTGCTCAAATCAATCATTAACCCACTAGCACTGGTGGGAAAAATGAGACTTTCTTTTTTGCAGCTTTTGCTGTTTTTCCAGCCGCTGAAAGGCTCCCAGGAAGGGGACTGAAGGGTCAGGAAAGGGATCTAAATTGGGCGGTGTGCTATGACGTGGACCCATCTCTCCTGTGGGACGCAAGGTCCCCTGAGTCTGTGCTGAATGGGTCGCTCTGAAAGACGATGACTACGCTCTTCGTTTTTGCAGGAAAATGATTATAGGCTTGATTAATTATTTGTATTATCAGAGCACCCAGGAACCCTATTTGTGCACCATTATGCTAGGCTCTGTACGAACACAGACCACAGAGACGGTCCCTGCCCCAGGAGGTTACAATTTATACCTTTTATTTTAGAATACGAGTCAGCGGCCTTGCCGAGAAGCAGCAGGGACAAGTCAGTATTTATCATCAGTTGTTAGACCCCTCACAGAAACCCAGCCAGTTACTCAAAATGACTATGGCGACCTTGGCAGGAGGGTGGGGTGGGTGGGAAGGGGCAGATACCTCACGCCCTCTGGCATGTTGCAGTATTCAGAATATTCCTACATCATGGTTTTGTACTTTGTCAAATGGTATCAGGAATTGAATTGTCTGGTAAAATGAGGAGCTGTTATCTTTGGGTTGAGCCAGGTAGAGTGGGCTCGGACTGTGCAGGCTTCATTAGGATTAGTGACGGTCTTATTATTTTAAAATGGACTTATGTGACAAATGGCCACAGTATCCTATAAATGTTGGAGCCCTTCCCTGCGCTGGAGAGTTTACAATTGAAGATAAACAAGGCAAACAAAGGCAAGCCCCAGAACAATAGTTTCTGAAAGGCAGGTTGCAGGAATTTCTGGTGGGCAGAAGGCAGGAGGCGTTCTGGGAAGAGGTGGATTTTAAAGGACGATTTGAAGGACAGGAGGTCACTTGGTGGATAAGAAAAGGGAGCGTGTCTGTGTTCCATACTTCACCCACATATAGCTCTGTCTGTCCACTGTCAGTGTGTCCAGCCCTGTAGCCCCTTGCTAGGCCAGTCCTTGGCTGCCCAATTCTGCTCTGCCAGTGCACCGCAAACCTGACATGGACTCCTCTCCCACTATGGCAGCCTTAAGCCTCTCCTGAGCAGAGACTGGCCACCATGCCAGACTAGCAGGTGGTGTTATGATGTGGACATGTGTCCACCAGGGCTTAGAGTGAGACTCATTCAGCTCACTCGCTTTTCTGGGACCTGAAACAGGATTTAAACCCAGGTCTCCAAAACTGCTTTGACTGTACCACTGAACCCATTCTCTTCTGGCTACACCGCTGGCCCCGTGCGTGCACACACCCAGGGGCGGCTCTTTGGTTTTTGCCGCCCCAAGCACGGCAGTCAGGCAGCTTTCGGCGGCATGCCTGCGGGAGGTCCGCCAGTGCCACGCCTTCGGTGTCCCCGCCGCCGAATTGCCACCGAATCCGCGGGACCGGCAGACCTCCCGCAGGCATATCACTGAAGGCAGCCTGACTGCCACCCTCACAGCAACCGGCACTCCGCCCCCCGTGGTTTGCCGCCCCAGGCACGCGCTTGCTGCGCTGGTGCCTGGAGCCGCCCCTGCACACACCCCACACACCCTTGTGCTTCCTGAACCCCCACCAAAAGGAGTGACGGGACAGTTTTATGAGGCTTGAATCAAGAAAAGAGACAAAGAACCTTTTATGGCACGACAGCGTGTGTGGAGTTGGAGTGCGGGGCAGGTGAGGGCTGGGCGTGCGCAGTGGAGCGTATGGGGGGTGGGAAGGATCGCTGCACAGCGGAGGCAATAGAAAGGGTGACCAAGGAGGTAGACAGTGTGAGGTTCTTAAATAGTACAAGGGGATGAACTCTGTTCAAACAACAGCTACAGAATCATTCTTCGGCATCCCCATATCAGCTCCAGGCGGAGAGCAAACCCCATAGGGCTTCCCATCTAGCTTCCTGCCATACATCCTGTAGGACCATGTGTTTCCGTGTGCGCTATCTCCCTTCCTCCGCTCCAGGAAGTCAGCTCAAAGCACAGCACAAAGCAATCACGCACGTCCTCTGCAAGTGCAGCTACCAACAGGGCTGACATTGGCATATGAACGATGTTGATTGTTCCATGCTGGCATTTATGTGTGTCAGCGCTGAGTGCTCACTGAGCCCACGGGGGCTTTCCAGACCCTAAAGAGTCAGGAAACCTCCAGCCATCACAAACAGTGAAGCCACATGCGAGCCAGGTTTGCTAAACCCATACTAATTGCTGTGAGGAAAACGTGTGTCTGACTCTGAGCCAATCTTGTTGTGACTTTAACCCTAACCCTGACACTTCACAAATAACAGTGAAACTTCAAAGCAAGTGGGCACAGCACAAGGCGCAAACACATCTCCCCTATGTTGGGCCTTGATTTCAACACTGGGCTCATTCAAGAGATGCCAGTGACCAGCGAGGGGACAGCAGCTGTGTCTCTCCCTCCCGCGCAGGGGACTGGGCTGCCCCGAAGAGCCCTCCCATTCCATCACTGGACTCACTGTATGTCTCTTCCACTGGATTATTAATAATAATAAAATGCAGCCACAAGCCAATAATGTCCAGGACTCCAGGGGCAGCATATCTGCCAAGTGAGCCTCCAGCTGATTGAGCGGCTAGGGCAGACGTGGGCAAACTACGGCCCATGGGCCATATCTGGCCCACGGGACCGTCCTGCCCGGCCCCTAAGCCTAGTCCCCGGCCCCTCCCCCGCTGTCCCCCCTTCCTCACAGCCACGCCGCCACGCGGGCCGCGCTCTGGCCCACTGCTCCCACTGGGCAGCGTGGGGCGCGCAGCTGGCTCTGGCCGGGTGTCGCAGCTACGAGCTCCTGCTGCTGGTAAGGGGGCGGGGAGGGGGTTGGGTAGGGGAGCAGGAGGTCCTGGGTGGCAGTCAGGGAGCAGGGGGGTTGGATAGGGGGCAGGGGTCCCGGGAGGGGGCGGTCAGGGGATAAGGAGCAGTGGGGGTTGGATGGGTTGGGAGTCCTGGGGGCCAGTCAGGGAGGAGGGAGCGGTTGGATGGGGCAGAGGTTCTGGGGGGGCAGTCAGGGGATGGGGAAC